AGTTAATTCTTGAGTATAATCTATGGATTTATCTTTGGTATACCTACATACATAATATATAATTATTTATGGTACATCCATACAACTAATAGAAAATAGTAAACTGAATAATCACTAAACTGTAGACAACCATTTTCCTATTCGCATAAGATTTTCAACTGCCTATCTCTTTCAGAATGAACCGTGCTTCAGGGGGTGGGAGGTCAACGACCCCGGCGTACTCACCCCACGTAGACTAACGAAAATAATATTCCCAACATTCACTGTTTGAAGTAGCCTGAATTTACATGGTGGGAATATAATCGAACGTTAGTTTAATATTTAAATAATATTATTAATTCTGAAACTTTTAATAATTTCTCTATCTGAGTATTTAATTGAATCAGTGTTAGTTGGTAGTGTGTATTCACACACTCAACTTAAAAATATAAAGTAACATTAATATTATTTAAAAGAGCAACACGCTAATATCAATCAAATCAATAAACCAATAATAAAAAACCGATGTAAACGGCACAGCGACGAGTTACTAGTCTATTAAAATAAAAATGCTCAAACTTTGCACTATGACTGCACTTTAAGAATTTCAATATTCGTAATGCACTTAATATTTTATAGTTGAAATGAAATAGTATTATTAGTAATAATAATAAATTTATTTAATTATCTAAATATTGTACTATTTTCTTAAGCCGGGGCTTAGACCTCTTTGTAAGTATAATTAAATAATTGTGATAGAAGAACACGCTCTTCTAGGGTTATTTAGCATTATGCTGTATATGACGTGTGTATGTGTGTGTATGTGTGAAGATAAAACTCAAATTGGATAGCACCCTCGTCATATAGTTAAGTAGGCCAAAGTAATAATTAAATGCCAACGACTGGCCTAAACTTGTAAGGGCTCGCAGTGACTTTCAAAGTGTAACTACTCCATATAATTTGATGATCGCAGGGTGTCGGGGTCGTAAATAGAATAATAGCCGCTGTCAGGAAGTACTGGATAATTTCGCGTATTTGGCAACATAAAATTGGAAAATTTATCGAATAGATGTGTAACTTAAATATAATTTGTAGATACAAAATTATACAATTGACCTGACCTCATACTCATCTTATCATCCTCCACCGGTGCCCCGCCAGCGTAAACCGTTAGCGCAGGCAGCACCATTTCATTATCATCCTTAAAAAAAATTACCTCGTTCTATAACAGAATTTGAATACTTGACACCTTCAGGGTCTATGTTGTACAAATTCAACTGATTCTTGTTGCTTTGTATAAATAAGCAATTACATACAGGTGATAAAGGAAATTATTGCATGAAGTTATTATTAAATTATGTCTAGGTAATTTTATTATGTTAATAATAATAATAGTATCAGGAATCAATTCACAAAGCGCCATCTAGACCCAAGTTAAGTTCTCTAAAGCTTGTGTTATGGGTACTAGATAACTGATACAAATACATAAATATATATACATATTATACATAGAAAACACCCAGACCGATACAAACAATCATAATGTTTGTGCCGTGCGAGGTATCGAACCCGCGACCATTGGAAGTAAAGTGGTATGTTATTGATTTCTCTCCAAAGATATGAGATTCACTCAGATTTCTTTGGGGAGAGTTTTAACCGCTACAACTATACTCTATACCACTCTAACATTTTCCGTCCAGTATGACATGACATCATAGAAATACTTTCAGTAGATGCAGTTTTATTACAGTCAACAAACTTGCAACTTATAAATAATATATCTGCAAGTCTGCTCACGAAATTCTACCTTACAATGTTACAAATAGGGTACATATGTAGACTTAGCAGAGCCTTGCCGAGTCCTCCATCCGCCGGAAATAAAGTAACTACGATGCAAACTTAATTTAGAAGTAATTCTGCCAAAAGACATCTTCTTACTAACATTGTAGACAGTCATGTTGGTATTTCGTATTTTTAATTTCTTCTACAATGTTTTAGACCCTCTTGTCGTAGTTAATGCTAATGTAAGTTTAAATGACGATAATTTAATGATGCACCCGCCTGCTCTAACGGTAAGCGTTGGTTCCAGTATCGCAACTAATTAACCACAATTTTTAACAGGAGAGTCCGCAGACTCAGGTTGAACTCATCTTATTACCAGTAGTATTGGAATCACTAGTTTCTGTTACTAACAACCGATCCCTCAACAATTGTAACTTATTCGGCCGCAAAGCAGTTGATTTTGTCAGCTGTGTTTTGCTCTGAAAGTTGAGAGATGGTTGTATTTACGAGGCATGACAACTGGCCTCAGGAAAGACAACGTATAGGAGATACTATGGTTAGTATATTGTGTGTGTATTTACAAAAAAAAGAATATTTATGTATTTATATCAGTTGTCTAGTACTTATAAGAAAAACTACTGTGGGACTAGATGCGTTAATTGTCCAGTTATTTATTTCTTATATGAAGCTGTTCATGTATATATAAAATAGTTGTGTTTCCCATTTGTTGCAGCTCATCTGTATTTTTTTTTGTAAATGATAATGAAATGGTGCACCCGCCAGCGCTAACGGTTTACGCTGGCGGGGCAACCGTGGAGGATGATAAGATGAGCATGAGGTCAGGTCAGTTAGCCCATCGTGACAAATTCACCAAGAATTTATCACGATGGTTTTCAGGAGGAACCGCGTGGAGGTCAACCTGACATGGTACATTGCTAGTGAATTTGAATTTGAATTTGAATTTGAATACTCGGGTGGTGGCTATATTTCCTATTCTTGTTAAATGACGAAGAAGTTAAGTAAGTGAGCAGGGGGAAGGAGATTGTTAGTAATGTGAACTAATAACCCTATTGCTAGCAAAGTATCATATCAGAATGATCACGCGGTTCCCCCTAGAAACTGTTGTGGTAAATTCCTGGTGAAATTATCACGATAGCTAACTGACTTGACCTCGTCGTCATCTTATCATCCTCCACTGGTGTCCTGCCAGAGAAAACTGTTAGCGCTAGAGCAATTTCCATTATCATCCATAAAAAAGTCGACATATAATGTAGAATATATAGAAAAACACATTCATTGATAAAGACATCCATTAATACAAATGTTTATTTTGTACGGAGATCGATTCAGTAACCGTGGGAAAGTACCCGCTGAGTATTTACGAATAATTCAAATACATACTTTTAAAAATATCAAAAACGTCGTTAACTTTTCGGCTATAATAATGATATATAGCAACATAAAGATATGGATCTTAATCGCAGAGAAAGAAGCTGTAATGTGCACCCATCCATTCCTAACTATCGGTTCATTCTAGTCAACAAACGGCCATAAAACTTTCCAACTGTAGAGTACTTTTATATGTAGTTTCTGAGTTGCTTTATATTTCAGGGGGTGTTATCTGATCTGAGATTGGATCAAAACACGAACGAAAGATACTGCGTCTATCTTGTTGGAGAAACGAACGTAAATAAATGAATCTGACTTATGACTGTTTCTTATTAAGCATTCTATTTTCCACTTCTATTTAATCTACAAAAACTATGAAATGAGGCATTTATCTAAAAATAACATTATAAAACAAGTTTCCTAATTAGACAACAGAATTTTAAAACAATATAAAATAATTTTTTGAGCAACATAATTTTTACAATGTGGGCATCTAAATTACGACTGCCTGAGCCGAGGTTCGAACCCCTAGAGGTGCCTTCAGCCTAAAGTCGTACCTGTCAGGCGGGAGTCGTCCTTCAGCCGCTCTATAAATCCTTCCGCGGGTTTGGAGTGCCATCTGCACTCACTCCCTATCGCCGGTGAAGCTGTAATGGCCAGCTGCGGCCAACAGCATTAGAGTAGTGCGAAAAAATTGTTACTGTAGAAAAATGTATCAAATCGGTGCAATGGTTTCGAAGTTTATTTCATGAGAAAATCTACGTTCCCTCTTAAAACAATAATAACATTACAGTATTATTATATAATTTGTACAAGTAAAGCGTGACAAAGGTTTAAATCTTAAACTTACTAATATTATAAATGCAAAACTTTGTGAGTATGGATGGATGTTTGTTACTCTTTGACACAAAAACTGAACGGATTTTGATGAAACTTTACAATAACATAGCTTATACATCAGAATAACACAGGCTATAATTAAAAAAGATATTATGTAAATTGGGCTATATATAATGATGTGATGCAGACGAAGTCGCGCGTGTCAGTTAGTAGCCGTAGTCAATAATGATGATAGAAATATTAACTTTGAATAATATATTTTTATCTGTGGTATTATTAACATAATATGCCATATAGTGCCAGTTTTAACCTCTTGGGAGGGTAATCATTGCCTTTGTAAATGACAGTTCTTTTCATAATGTTCCATTCATTGAATGATTTTTTTATGAGCTACAGACGACAACGAAAATAGTTCTGTCTGTTCTACAATTCTTCAATCGATAATAATTAACTATATATAATACATAAATACTTGTCTATGGTTTCGTCCACTTGTCGCTAGTAATTTCATTCATAGGGTAAAGAGTAGTGTCTCTTCTATTAGAAATACGCTTGGGTATCAAATTAGAAGACGGAAGAGTTAGAAGGGGTTAGACTAAAAGAGAGTCAGAGTAAAAGTATTTCGATTAGGCAGTGAAATTGTAGGATAAGAGGCATAATATTTTATATAAATATTGAATTTTGACACTAAAATGAAGTTGTCTACATTAATATTATAAATACAAAACTGTGATTTCCGTCTGTGGCTTTTTCACAACTAAACTGTTGACAAATATATATAGTATTTACATATACTCGCTAAACGAAACCATAAACGATCAACTGTTGTTAGCTACTTGCTTTCATAAAGATCCGTTTACTTTATGAAAGCAATACTATATAAAAGAAATACTATATAAATTTGTCAATTTAATAAACCCTAAAATTTCGGAGGTTCTTGCTTTATCCTTTATAATTATTTATTAAAAAAATAAAACAATTTTATTCTTGGATATCGTTATTATTGGATATTTAAAATGCATCGTTCCGCACTTAAACGTACCATTTACATGTCTTTATCTAAACATATATTTAGATAGAATCTAATTCCAATTTGGAAAGATAATAAATTATAAAAAAAAATCCGTGTCTTAAAATAAAATTTACTTAAATTTAACACATTGTTGGTAGAATGATAAAGTAGTAATTGAAGTAGTTTTCTAATGGAATTGATCGTTTCGTTTTCACAAATTAAATTACCACAATAAAAAGTTCACAGTGAGACATTGATATCAAGTTTAAAGGTAAGATAAGGTAACTACATTGAATAGAGCGACTGCAACACCGACTCATAAAAAATGCTCCATAAATTCACAATTATACAAAGATAAGCACTTTGGAATCTAATTTTTACTTTACACATTATCATCAACTAGATACTAAGTACATTTAGAAAATCTACATAATTACAAACTTTTACTAAGAATCTAGACTCTTTGAATTTTTTAAAGATCTCGAGTGGAAAGGGACAGTTTTATTTTTTTTTGTTTTATTATCTAAAGCATTGCTAAACGAGTCAGTCCCGCTCGACGGTGTACTAAAACCGGAATTTTTGGAACTCGGCGCACTGTTACCGGGGGACACTCCACTGTCTGTGCTCACTGACGCCGGGCTAGGACTGTCGCTCGTACTATTGCACACGGTCAGGTCCTGCCCTGGTATCGACACGATCTGCCCGATCGGCTTCTGTCTGACTAGATTTATGCTTTGGCACACGTTATTCTTCACTTCCCCATCACCTTCCTTTTTATGGTACCTAGTTAACGTTCCCGCCGAGCCCGCAGAATTCGGCCGGTACATTGGTACGAATTGTGACTGTGGGTAGTACTGCATTTCAGGCGGTACTTGTCCCTGAACCCAAGGACCCATTGTAGACACCACTGGTGCCATATGAGGCCACATTGGCATTGGAACCATATGCGCGCCATCGGGTAAATTAAAACCGGGGGCTACAGGCATTGGCCGAACGACCCCTACCGGTGTAGGAGCGCTGTGAGGTCTCATGTTCGGATGCGTGTATTGAGGAATGTATTCTTCACCTTCGTACATACGGTTAGGGTTTGGACTTTGACTATATTCTACATTTGGAAACACTGTATGTGGACCCCTCTGTAAGTAAGTGAACATCTGTTGCTGCGCTTGTTTCATAGCGACATATTGTTGCAAATGTATAGCAGTTTGTTGCCTTTGTTGTGCCAAATCTTGGTTAATATTTGTAGTCGAATTTCCATGTATGTAATAAATATGCGGTTGAGAATTGGCAGGCGTGGCGGGCTGCTGTTGCCTTTGATTGTTATATTTATTGTCCACAACATTATTTTGTGGATCCTGGTATTCCTCTGGAGGTGCTATGTATTTAGGGGGCGATGGTGGCGTAACTTGTTGTGACATCGGATAACTTATTATTTGTGCTTTATATGGCTGTTGAGACTTTGCTGAATGCGCGGGGCTGTGTGTTTGGAATGTAGGATTGTATGTTATTTGCGACATATCTTGGCCAGATCCCGTCATATCTTCTTTTTGATTCGATCTTTGGCATTCGTTAGCTTCATTTTTCTTAGGCTTTTGATTGTAAGGCCCAACTTTAGGGTTGTTCTTCCAATTTGCTCCAGCACTCTGTGGTCGCTTGACCGGTGACTTGGTAGGATCCTGCCAATTGTCACCGTTGATTTGTCGCGGCTCTCCTTGATGATGAGATTGTGCGCTGTGCGCTCTTCTCGAAGGAGGTGACATTCCATCAGGTACATGTTGCTGTCGGTAGCAACGTCTAGGTGACCCCGGACTGCTTTGACGTTCTGGTGGCTGTGGTCTGGGAACACGCCTTCTGGCGGGAGTTGGAGGACTTGGTTGTGATTGGAAAGATTGGGACGACTGTGACGCTGATCGCCACTGGTCTATGAGAATTCTTCGTCGTTCCTTTTCTAGTCGTACTTCAGTTTCGCTGGACGAGTCGTAGTCTTTACCCTGGAAAAGAATTAAAATTAAATATCGTATCGTATTGCATAATATATTGTATTTATTTAGAGTATTTTAAAATTTGAAAGTTATTAATACCTTTTCAATTTTATCGTCCAACATTTTGAAGAAATCCTGTTGACTGGCCGACACCTCACTGCCAACAAATTTTGATTAGTTAATTTTAAAGAACGCAATAAGTACATATACGCATTACAATTACTTATGTTAAACTATATTTTATTGCTTTTCGAAGAACTATGTCCTAAAATTATATAACACATTAATAATATGTTTTTATAGTCATATTGTATTACACGTTACATAATTAAAAATTGTTATCTCTATGAGCTCATAATGGATATGGCGTGAAGATAGACAAATAAATAATTTATCTTTTTTTTTATTGATTTGTATATTTTCACGCCATATGTCCAAAGTTTGTGGTATTGCATACCCTGTTACGGGAACATGAATCAAAACTATAGCGGCTTGAGCCTAAATTTTGAACTTATTCCGGTACCTTAGTATAAAGTTTCTTTCTGCCGCTCTGTAAGTCATTTCGCGGGTTCTATGTTTGGCTTCTGCACGTCCTATTTAATATAGTGAATTTGTAAAGAACACCTGCGGCCAACATTAGAACAGTTAAAAAAAACGTAGTTGTACTAACATTGCTGGTGGGTGTGCAGCAAGTGGCAGGATATGCTTGCTCTGTTCCGCGTCATCATCGGTATCATCTGCAGGCGCTGTCCCCCCCGCCGTGCCCTCCTCCTCGTCTGCTTCTTTGTCCGCTGCGCCTGCGTAAGTATACAATATATTTTTGACATTTTCGTAGTATGTTTCGCCATATGTGTGTAATATTAATATGTGAAACAAAAACATTGTAGCCTTTCTTACGAAAATTACATAAATGCGAGACTATGACAATTTGGTACAGTAAAAATTTACATATATAGAGAAGCAGTGCAGAAGACACACATTTAGCCATTGACAATAGAAACTCAATAGTATCGTTTAAATATTAACTAAACTGCAATTTTTTTTAGTTAATATAAAATGTACTATTATAAATTTCAACATCATCGAGGTTTTATTGTTGTTCAAATTTTGTCCATACGAGTATTGTGATAATAATTGAATGGCGATTTTTTCTCCATAAATAGATAGTACATGAATAAAAAAAAATCAACCTTACTAAACCTATAATATTTATATTATATCAAGAACGGAAAGATAAAATATTTGTTCGTCTGCCGGTACGCAAATCTACGTTCATGCCGTTTGGTCTTCGAAATGCTTATTTGGGTCAAATACCGACGATATGAATTATTTATTTCATGTCTTCTCCGTATTGATTTTCCCGTGATATTATCGGTCTCGGATATATGTAAATAAAATGGGAACTTTAATACCTAGTTTATAAATAAAGTAAATCGTAAATTCATCGTACATCCTTCATTCATTTTATCATTAAAATTAACGTAAAAATGTACTCAATATATTCTACTAACCGTTTCCCACAGATTTATCATTTATTTTCCATGTGTATTATTAAAAATATCAATGCATACATCTATCTACATAAATAAAACAAATCCTGGTTACTTACTCATAAAATTAAAAAAAAACGGTGGACCAAGTTTTATGAACTCCATTTTGTTCAATTGAATGTCTTTATCCTGAACTGCAGAAAAATTATTTCTTTAATAATTTTTCTGCTGTTCCGAACAAAGACAAATAGGAAATAAAAAAACTCTCAAGTCAGTCAGGCCAGTTAATTATCATATAAATGACTAAAATTTCTACTTTTTAAACTTACTGTCCTTATTGAGTGTTGATAAATAGGACAAATATTTAATAATTTGAGATTTAATAAGATTGAGAGCATGCAGAGATTCTAACATAATATATCTATATAGGTAATAATTGCTTGCAAATTTCTTTAGCTTTGTAATAATTTGATATTGTAAAACGTTGTCTGCGTGGTTGCTTCAGTTTCATCTATTTCAGCGGCCAAGCTTCTTGCTTTGTTAGTTGTATTTCAGTTGAAGGATTAGACAATGCAGTAAAATTACAGGATAAGAGGCATGTCATCTTAGTCCTGCATAATAGCAACGCATGAGTTATATCACGGGCATTATGACAATGTAATGTCCGTAGTGCTTTTAAAGTATAGATATAGATGATACTTAACATTTACTGTCAGATGGGTCGTTACTCGTTAGGTTGTTTGATACGTTCTCATTTATTTGCTGTGAGCATCATTATAGTTGTGTTATAGCATGTATCTTATCATTACATAGTATAAAACAAAGTAGCTGTCGCTGTCTGTCCGTCCCTATGTATGCTTAAATCTTTAAAACTACGCAACGGATTTTGAATCGGTTTTTTAGTAGATAGAGTGATTAAAGAGGAAGGCGAGGCTGGCGAAGACGGGGTGAATAGCTAGTTAATATTATAAAGGCGAAAGTTTGTGAGTATGGATGGTGTTAGTTACTCTTTCACGCAAAAACTACTGAACGGATTTTGTTGAAACTCAACAGTAATATAGTTTATACATCAGGTAACACATAGGCTATAATTTAAGAAGATATTATGTAAATTGAGCGAAATATAAAGTAAGTGTGATATAGACGAAGTTGCATGGGTCAGCTAGTGTTGTAATGCATTTATTATATTCTAAAATATGTTGTTCACTTAGAACACGGATCGGGTCTGTTCTGTACCAGACTTATACATACTCGTAATTCCCTTTTAACAATCGCCACCCACGTGGTCTTACACTGAACAGACGGCTATCAATCAAGGCGGGAAACCGTAAACAGCGCACGAAACCGGTTTATTGTTACTACAGCAATGGGCGCTGTTGTTTTCCCCGCAGGATGCGTCGGAATGCGGAATGTGCATTCGGAAACTGTGTTACGATCGAATTACGATACCGTTTGTTGAGCTGGGTTTGTTTACTTATTCTGAGGCAATTAAAATAATACATTATGGACTTTAATGATCTAACAGCTGGTTTATACAGCTGGTGTAATCTTCCTATCCTTTGAGCATATTCATGACAATACATGTTTGTATGATTATGGATATTCTTCTTTACACTTAACAAAGTTGACGGCCTTGGTGGTTTAGCAGTTTAGCCCACCGCTTTACTTCAGATGATCGCGGGTTCGATTCCTCGTACGGTACAAACATTTGTATTCATGAGTATGATTGTTTGTATCGGCCTAAGTGTTTTCTATGTACATTATGTATGTGCTAATACAAAAAAAAATTACCTATATTGATATATTGATATAGGTAATTTTTTTTTAATGAGAGTAGATGGCGTTGTGTGAGTTGTCCAGGGGTATTATTACTATAAAATCAGTAGTGACATTGAAAAATAAAATTTATTCCCAGTAATATATAATATATTTTATTCTAAACTGTTATAAGTTGATCGTTGAAGATGCAGAGGACAGTTACGGCAAACAATATTATTGTATTATATTTGACAAACGAAGTTTTACACATTGTTGTACTCTTTGTACCTTTTTATATATTTATTTTTGTACCAATTTTGAGTGTATTTTATTTACAGTTTTTAGAGTTGTCATATTTTTTATTGTCACCTTTGCTTTGTTTGTACCTTCATTATAAGTATTTATCTATTGTTTAATTTATATCAGATATACAGTCCATTCATTCTATCTCCCACAAACATAATAACTATTTTTAAAATTATATAATTATCCAAAAGTAAATATGGCTCCGGATATGTATGTTTATCATCAAAACTCCATGCAAAACGCAATATATTTTGTTCAGAAATGACACATATAACGATTCCATAGTGACCCCTTAACCTAAATTTAGTCGACGGATCTCCAAAAATAAATGTTTTCCAGGTCAATGCACTTAGGTAAGTCAGACATATCGTCAATAAATTAGCGATTTTCATCACTGTTATATAGCTAACATATTACTTACAAGCTGTGCTCGCGGTTTCATCCTCGTTAAATTTCAATGTAAGATATAGCTTACACATAGGTATATATTCATATATTGATGCATAAGCTATATTACAGTAAAGTTTCATACAAATCCGTTCAGTAGTTTTCCGTGAATCATCATTGCGTAATCGTCATTGCGTAAACATCCATACTTACAAACTTTCGCATTAATAATATTATATTAAGATTAAGATATTAGTCATACAATTTAAATACTCACCAATTATCACATTAAAATTATAAAAATAACAACCTAGGACTATTAATATGGTGAAAATATCTAAGCTCAAAAGTAGAGCTTGTACTATGAGTACTAAATAAAATATCTATAGAAATCATCATGACCCATATGTATTAGTCATGATAATGATCACATTACTCATTATACAAGAATTCAAATATACTTTTAAAGTCTCGTGTTAATACACATTATCAATATAGTTATCTATATCTATATCGGGTCTTAACACGAATTTTATGGTATATAAAATTAAAAAAAAAATTACCTCTCTCGATGTTTCGACTAAATTTTATTAGCCGGGGCCAAGAACTAACTGGAGTAACAGCGATTTCAATATAGCGGTAGCTGTCAACAGTTTGTTCAACTACCGTCATTAGATTGTCCAACGAAAATACCCGACACATAGTACTCGTGGATTAATAGAGAGAAATAAAAGCGCAATCATTTCACAATATTTTAATGTATACTTTATATGAGAAAAACTCTTTAGCATTCCATGGACTTACTGTGTGGGTGTCTGTTGCATCGTGTCATAGAGAGGGAAACTCCGAGCAGTTTCCGGGACTTCTGGGACGCTTTGCAGCCCTATATCAACTTTTTTTTAAAATACCTTCACCTCTTTTTTAATAATAATATCTTCACGAATATAATACAAGACTAAACTGACCCGCATTTGCCATTGTGCAACTTGCTAACATAATCTAAGTAAGAAACAATTTTCTTGAAATCCCACAGGGAGGGCAGATAATGAGCTCATCACCAAAGCCACGGGAAAGGTTAGTTAAATATAATATACGGAAGTGGAGTAAAGCGATAAGTCGATTTGTGGCCTTCAAGGAACGTAACGTCAACAAAATTGGTGATATTCGTGAGCCCAATTCTGAACATGTCAATGGCGAATATGCACGCAGACTTGATTGTAGAGAAATCAATAATGGTATATCTATCTGTGAGAACGGATTGTGAATTGAGTTGTGTATATGATCATTTGTATATTTCACTGAAGTAGACTATGAATTAGTCTGCTTTGGTACCTTTGTTCCGCCTAATTCAGCCGCCAAACCGCTTAGTAAGAGGTGTTTATAATATTTTTTTTCGGACTACTCTAATGCTGTTGAACGCAGCTGGCTTTTAAAGCTTCACCGGACGATAGGGGGCGAGTGCAGATGGCACTCTAAACCCGCGGAATGACTTACAGAGCGGCTGAAGGCCATCTCCCGTTTGACGGACGCCACTTTAGTTTGAGGGCACCGCTAGGGGTTCGAACCTCGGCTCAGGCCTCGTACTATCCATCCCCGTTTGAATTGGACGGGGGATCGTGATCGATCGTGATTATAATAGTAATCAACAATCTACACATCGCCATCTAGTCCCAAGCTAAACAGAGCTTGTGTTAGTTAACTGCTATAAATACATATATTTGTCAATAAATTATATACATAGTAAACACCCAGACCGATACAAACAATTATGAATACAAATGTTTATACCGTGAAAAGAATTGAATCTGTTACCATCGGAAGTAAAAAGAGGCCACATTGCTTGTCCTTCCAGTACT